GGGGCGCTTGCTGAACATTTGTTCCAAAGAGAGGGAGTGGCAACGGAAAAGGCTCCATCCCCTCGGAGCCTCTGCTTAGTCTTCGGTACCTCTAATCTAAAAGCGTCTGGTCCACACACCAGAGGCACAGGGCACGTGCGGAGGAGCTCAGAGGGGTAAGGTGGGGCGAGGCCATCTCAAGATTTGAAAACAAATAAGAGGATCTCGGAAAATAACTCTCAAGTGATCCAGTGAAGGGATGGCAGAGTAGGAGTTATGTGCGCCCTCTTTGGAGTACCAGTCAAGAGGTGAGCAGCGGCGTTATGGACCAACTGGAGATGCTTCATGGAGGATTGGCTGACTACAAAGTCAAGGGCATTGGCATTAGATGTACGCTTGGCAGATTTCATGATTATGTTGTAATATGTTGCATGTCTAATTTTATCCTATCGAGTTATATTCCTTGTATTCTTGTCTTCTGCGTGTGTGTGTGCGTGCGTGCGTGCGTGTGTGTGCGTGCGTGCGTGTGTGTGTGTGTGTGTTTTCTGGCGTGATCTAAATATGGTGGCCCAGGAGAGAAGGGGGAGGATGGTGGTGAATGGGAGATGGGAACAAGATACCGTGTTTGTCAGGGGAGACACACACACACACACACACACACACACACACACACACACACAGCAGCGGTCCTGCTTTGACACGGCGTGACACACACCTCTAATGAGGACCCGGCGTACGTGCAAGCCCCCCACACGTGCACACGCCCCCTCAGCGGCGTGATCTGAACGCCGCCGCGGGGAGCATCCACCGGGGCCAAAGTGAAATGTCATCTCGGCAAGGGGGACATGGGGGTGGTTACGGCCTGGTCGTTATGGCAACGGCTCCGAAGGCAAAAAGACCCCCTTCGGCGATGTCGAACAATAAATGGAAATCTTTGCCGGAATGCCAAGCGAAAAGTTCTTGTCGATTTGCTTGCAAATGAAAGAGCTTGTCAGAGGTGTGAGCGAATTGGTTCACATAGCTGTTTTTTTTGTTTGTTTTGTTTTGTTTTGTGTTTTGAGTAGGCACTGATGCGATCAAATAGTTTAGTGATTATTTGTTTCCCCCATGTGTGGCGTCTCGTCAGTTTGTGTGAGCGTATCTCATTTAGGCTCGTATGCTAACTCAAGCGACGGGTTGCCCTTTTGACGTGAAGGTGCTTCATTTGTCGTGAATAGTTCATATGACACAATACATTTGATGTCACATGGGAGGACGGCCGTGAACATGCGAGAAGCCTGGTGTTGATGCTTGATGGTCCTTTGAAGTGCTTTGCTGCCATGTTGTTGCACCTGTCCGCAATGAAAACCCCCCTTTTGTCATCGTATTGTAAGAAACGCACTAAGGCGACCGATCATTTATCGGAAGAGAGTTAATCTCTACTTTTGTTCTTTGGTGGTTCAGGCGGCTTTTTTCGATGGGCATTCGGCGAAACTGCTGCGCTCAAAACACACTTTTGTGCTCAAAATTATTGCTGATTAAAACTAGCTTTTACTCCATGTTTCATATCAAAAGCGCAAACTTTCTGTCTTTTCGATTGGGCTTTTTTTGGGGGGGGGGCGACTTGACGAACCCAATCCCACAAACCGGAAAATCAATTTCAAGATGGCCTTGGCAGCACCGCGACCAGGCCCGGACAAACAGTGTAAATAACAGCGAGAGGAAGAGGAGCTTGAGCGGGAGGTGGGAGGAAGCTCTCTCTCTCTCTCTCTCTCTCTCCAAAAGTTAACATTGCCAAGTGAAACTGGCTTTGCATATTTTCAAAAACGCACTCCCAGATGGCACCATCCAACCAACCCCCCCTCTCTCTCTCTCTCTCTGATTTTCCCCGGAGCGCCGCAGAACAGGACGGAAGGGAGAAGCAGGCGAGGGAGAGTCATATATGGAGAGCATCTGAGGAAGGAGGCAAGGCAAAAATGGAGATGGAAGGAAAAGGGAGAAAGGGGAGTGGAGGGTGGTGGGCGTGGTGGTGGGTGGGGGCATGTTGCGTATACGCATTTCCAAGCGAGTGCTGCAGTAACCTGCTTTTCCCTGCTCCTCGTGATCAATCACCCGGCAGCGAAGCCTGCCCGACACACGCTGCTGTTGTCTTCTGTGCTCTTCTCTCTCTCGCACACACAAACACAAACACGCACGCGCACACTTCAAAGGCATCTCGCACGATTACTATGCATGGCTTATATGGACAATTTATGGACCTTCGGTCGTCATGTTTATTCAGAGAGAATGTTTCAGTTCGGGGGACGTTTTTATGATTGTGTGTGTGTGTGTGTGTGTGTGTGTGTGTGTGTGTGTGTGTGTGTGTGTGTGTGCGCGT